TTTTAATGATGTAACATCTATTTATTATTATCACCTGCACCACAGCACATTATAAGAGCAGCGGGCATTTCATTCACTCCATTCACACCCCCAGAAATGAACTCCACATCTAATACATGTTGACCTTTTTAATAGACATCTGTCCATGATGGCAAAAGAAAGCCTGTCACCTTCCCCCTCGTCTTCAACACGCTGTTTTTTGTTGGTTACCCATCAGTACATCCATGGCTCAGAGGAGCAGCTTTCTGAGGTAGTGGTACAAAGGCTTAGAGGCACATCCAGCTAAATTAGATTTCCAACTGTGAGAGCCAGCTAGAGAAATGATTGCTTTGACAGCAGCAATAGCTTGTCTGAACATACGATTTACAATTAGATTACTTTCAATACAACAATATTGAGGTTCATTTTACATTTGGTACCAAATGTTTGCTAAATGACCGTTCTCCTGTTTTTCTTTTCAGAATAGATGCACTAATTACCAATCAGTGGTCGGTTTCTGGTCTGCAGGTTTTAGGCTCATATTAGCAAAAATCTCTAATTCCTGACTTCTTTTCTGTTTCTGTTTTTTCCTTTTTATCCAAATCTGTGACTGATCCTGATTTACTTAAATTAGGAGGGATTTCAATAGATTAAATCAAAGACAAATAATTATCTAGTTATAGCCCCTGACTTTTATCTAAGCCTGCAAACATTTCCTTCTTAGGAGCAATCTAGAATATACAGAGATTTAAAGGAAAAGTCCGCTCATATTCAGAATTCAAACTTCTGAAAGTTCTTTAAATCTGAAATGATTCCATCCTGTTCAATAAATGATCAGTGTTTTTAATTCAGAGTAATTTTCATGTGAATGTGCTTTACTGGAGGCATCCATGTTTGTCAAAGAACACTACTGCCACCTACTGGTTTGTGACGTCACGGTGCGGTATCGGCTGTTGATCAAGTCCCAGTGCTGTATCTGGTGTTTCAATTCAATTCAGTTTATTTCTATAGCGCCAAATTCACAACACATGTCATCTCAGGTCACTTTCCAGTTCAACCAGATCATCCAGTCAGATTGATTCAAAGTTTTCTATCTAAGGAAAACCAGCTGATTGCATCGACTCATTGACTCAAATACAATCCCTAACTAAGCACTAACTAAACACTAAGCATGCTTGTAGCGACAGTGGAGAGGAAAAACTCCCTTTAAAAGGAAGAAACCTCCAGCAGAACCAGGCTCAGTGTGAGCGGCCATCTGCTGAGGCCCACTGGGGTTCAAGGAGACAGAAGCAGAGACACAAAAAGCAGCTGTAAAAGGGGGCCCCATCCAGGAAACCCACAGTTTGTCACAACGCGCTATTATCCAAGTCATCTTGAAAACATTCTCTTCCAAATGTTGGCTACATATTACGGGTTTTTTCTCTGGCCAGAAGTTCGATGGCAAATCCTCCCTCTTCAAGTTGGCGATCCAACGACCAACCCGTCCGTGGAGGATCAGGAATCAGAAAGGTGGAATAACTCTTTTTTCCACTTTTACCCGATGTATTCCAGCATCCAGCTGCCATGCACGTGGGCATTGTCAGTTTCACTATAGCTCTGGTGAATTTCAATGGTGAAGTCCTCTGGAAATCTTCAATAATTGTTGTTGATTGCAGATGTGTCTAGTAGTTCCCATTGATTTAGCTTGGAAAGCGGGGAGAATGGCGCTAGGCTTACCGCACCGTGGCGTCACTGCTGGAAGATGGCAGGAGGGAGGGGCTACTAGATTTGGGCAAAAATGGCCGCTCCCAGACTCAGTGATCACAACGAAAATTATTACTTTTATTTTTTACTGATTAACACTAAATTCATTAAATCACCGTGGACGTATTAGTTTTAGGTATAATTAATGATCCATTGGTTATTTCTTGCTGACCGGACTTTTCCTTTAAAGCTCAAAGGAAAGGCAAGTTTATTCATTAAGTATAATTCAGTATAAAGATAAATCAAATTAAACCATAAAATAGAAGAAGCATAAAAGCAGCGTAAAAGCAAATGAAGATAAAAATCGGATTTAAAGCAGGTAGTAAAACAAATCAAACACTTGGACCATACTTTAAACCAATAATACCTCAGTTACCAGTTTAACTCCATCAGTCAAAGGCAGCTCTACACTAACGGGTTTTTAACTCTGACTTTAAAGGAAACCCTCTTCAGCTCTTTTCCAGTCTTCTGGGAGTTTGTTCCAGATCAGTGGAGCATAGATGCTGCTTCTCCATGTTTGGTTCTAGTTTCTCCAGATTTACTGTAAAAATCTCAGACGTAACGACAGGTGATCGCTCTGACATCAGCTGTCGTTCGGTCGGTGGGAGATTTTGCAAACAGGCATTGCCTCCAGTTTTGTCTAAATTGTGCAACTTTAAATTCTAGCTACAACAGAATAATGTTTGTACAGCTGTTTGTGGGAGGCTTTAGAACAGGAGAATATCATCTGCATATAAAGAAAGCGTTATTAATTACTCATAAGGACCCCTTCTGTGACCTAATGTTCACTCACTGCTTTAGATAATGCTTCTAGCCGTCTGCTCCTTCAGGCGAGTCTTTATCAGCTTCCTTTTATCACATAAAGTTTATTGAAAAAACAGATTTGCTGTGCTTGGATGAAACCAAATGAGGGGATGTAAAATTGTTCTACCTGAAATCAATGAACGGAGGTCCAACCTCATACATACAACCATGTTGATGACTCTCATTGGATCACTACTGTAATAAAGAGGAAGTGTTAAATATTAATTATACCTTCATTATGAAACATCGACCTAACTGGACCACTAATGTTTCCATCATTTCTATTGTATATAAGTATATATTTATATATATATATAAGTGCATATGTCCTCAGCTATGAACTAATGTGCAGGGGCAGAGCTAGATGGGGGCCAGAGATGACCCTTAGCCAATCATTGGCCACCCCTGTGGCCACTCCTACCATATTTTCCCCCTCTAATACAGACGGTGGCAGCAGTAACACTCTCAATGTTCAAACTTATTTTTCATATATATTGGCAATTATTTGACAACTAAAACGCTGTGGTTAATTATGCACATCAAAATACCAAAATTAAAGCTGATATATGCAGAATTCATGCTCTTTTCAAAACTAAATTTTGTATTATATGGGGCAAAGATGTGTCTCTGCACACTTCAGTGAAATCATCGAATAAATAACTACTTTGATAATAACTTAAAAATCCATTTAATGTAAATATTAGTATATGTAAATATATTTTTTTTGCACAATAATTTGTGATAAAAGTAGGTAAGTAATGACAATGGAAAATATGTTCACCCCAGAAGTTTTTTCCACTATACCTTTAATTTAGACATTCCAAAAAAATTCAAATGCTCCACTGGAGTTTGAAGACGTTTCTCTTCCCATCCAAGAATTTTTCAATTCAAAATGTCAAGAATAGCGTTGAGTTTAAGGTTTTATCCAGCAGCCCAACAAAGACTTGTTTTTGTTTAGAAAACATGCAAACTGGAACAGATGAACGGGTCCCCCCCTTTGGAATGGGGGTCGTTTGGCTTCTTTTGTTAGACTGCAATGCCCCATACCTGTCTAAGTGTCTGAAAGGGGGGTCGCTAAAGGGGATTGTTGGACTGGCTAAAACTTATGCAGCACGGATGTTTAAATATATGCATCTATTTGTTAGCAAAGGCTATAAGAAAGTATAGTTATTTAGAAAATATGGATGTTGTGTTCATTCCTGTTGGATTAGGGTAGATTGACCCTGAGGTTTTGGCGCCACCTCAGTGTACATTGGTTATTGCCTGGCAACCATTTTTACATTTTTCTGGCTATGTCTCTGCTAATGCTAGGGGTGTAAATCACTTCCATCATGGCGATTCGATTCAGTATCGATTCCCTGACCCAACGATTCAAATTATTTTCGATACTCAAGAATACACCACGATACGATTCGATTCGATTAATTGGTTCATTTTTTTTTTTTACACCTTACAGGCTAGACAATATTTCAAATTTAAAATAAATCAATGAAAGCTGTAATATTGTTTTGCATTTTTTTTGAGAAACAACAGCAAATAACAGAAGTAGAAATGTTGCATCAAAAAATTCTGCACATAATCAGTGCAATTAGTGCAATGCAATACCTCGGCTCCGGACGCCCCGCCCCCTCCACAGACGCTCCGCTGCTCCTCTGCCAGATTGTAGCTGACCGCAGACAGCGCCGCAGACAGGAGGCCAGCTTGTTTTGTTTTTATGACCGAAATTGCGGAAAACAACTCGTGAAGTTTGACCCGCTAGAAGAGCGAGGTGCGCGAGAACGCTGGGACCCTTTTTCCACCTGGATCCCCGCTCTTTTTGGCCCTCATGTCCCTCCGTCGTCGGACTAAACTCGCCCCCACTTCCTCGCCGCCTCGGCCGTATCTAGACCCACAGCGTGTAGCACAGACCACGCTTCAATATTGAGCATAAATCAAAAATGTCTGTGTAAAGCTCACTGCAACACACTGCTGTAAGAGTATAACCAGGAAGCGAGGTAGGAGGGCAAAATAGGTTTAGCGCCACCGCAGCACGGGAGGATAATTACGCCCAGGAGCAAATGGATAAAAATAGACCGGAGGAAAAAAACATGAATCGATTCTCCTGCGGACGTGTCGATGCATCGGATCGTCGGCTGTTGGATCGATGCATCGATACAAAACGATTATTATTTACACCCCCAGCTAATGTGGAACGATATGGCTTTTTTATTTTTTAAATAAGAAGATACATCAAATTAAATCTCAGTTTTTTTTCTCTCTGAGGAGATGCACACTTCTTTCAGCCGCCGTTTCTGGGCTGCCCTGATAAAGTCGAGCAAAAAGGAAGTAAATTAAATAATCTTTTCGTGCACAGCTGTTGAAACCTCTTCTTTAACCCATTCTTTAAACAAATGTCTTTTATTACAGCTCACTGATTCCCTGGTCTCGCTGTGTGATCTGTTAGGTCTGTATGTTTAAGGCTAGGACAGACTCACCCAGGATGGCCAGCACAGTGTTGTCTTTCAGCACCTCCATGGAGCCTGAGCAGACGAAGTAGATGGCCTGCAGGGCGTCCCCCTGCCGGATGAGGAACTCTCCAGGAGCGCAGAAGGAGGTCTTGATGATGAGGGAGAGAGAGCGCAGGCATCCCCTGCTGGCCGACTCGAAGAGGGGAAGCTGCAGCAGCTCCTTGTTCAGGTGCATGGCAATGTCCGCCCGCAGCTCATCAGGGAAGTCCTTCAGCAGCTGCAAAGACAAAACAATTTCCCACATAAGAGCTTCTCTGCCTGAAGAGAGCAGAGCGTCTAGCCGATGGCTTTTCAAGAACTACTTCAATGATATCAAGATGAGAGGAAACACAGCTGGGCGAGAACACAGCTTCATGTCTTCAGTTTGAAAGTTAGAGACAAAAAAAATAAAACAAAAAACGTATAACATTTAACTTATATATTTAAAAAAAACACAGCGGCCAGTTTGGGAAAGCTCTGTTAATAAAAAAACAAATGGAAGAAAAATCTCTAAACAAGCTTAAAGCAGTAACATTAATCTAAAGTGACTAAAGACGACCCAGGAATCTGTTTCCTTGACTTATTAAGCATATCCTCTGGTATCTTATATTCCATTTGTTGTTTTATTTTTCAGCTCAAAGCAGCAGAAATAGATCCTTGTTCTTTTTCTAATGACTTGATGAATAATACTGTTTGTTTACTACGGGTCACAAGTAAAGAGTCCAAAGGATCTTATAACAGCTGACAGTATGAGTTAAAATAAATCAGAGATAGCATGTCAGGCTTTCTAAAGATTGGTAAAGATCGGCCAGAGACTGGGAATCATCTCTTGATTAGTCACAAAATAACTAACATGGTAAAAATCCCTGCTGACCTCCTCATGGCGGCTGATTCTCCTTATTCTCCCAGACTTTGACACCATCATCATCATCACCCTCCTTAATAGATCATTTTCCATCTGTTAAGGGATCCGTTCTTTTCTCTTAGCATTTAATCCACGTCCCCCTCCCTACATGTCTGATCTCCTCCATGTTGCCCCACCCTCCCCCACTCTCCACCCTTCCTCCTCTATCCACCACTGGTGGCTGGCCATTAGAGGGCGCTAGGATGCTGCCCCACCCATCCAATCGGTCTGATTAAGAAAAAAAATTAAATATTTAAATATATATATAAAAAACTCTTCCACATCCATCGTGGGTGATAGCTTCCTCCAAGCTGGGGTCCTCTAACAGAGGCTTTGCTGTTCCTAGAACTGCACCGTTCTGGACCGAGATGTCTGTTGTATTTCCAAGGATCTGCTGTAACTGCTCCAGTTTGGGGGTCACTGCCCCCCATTGACCACGGGTTCCACTGCTGCCTTGACCTTCCAGCTTTTCTCTGAGCCCCTGGTATTTCTCTAGTTTCTCATGTTCTTTTTTTCTGATGTTGCAGTCACTTGGTATCGCTATGGGAACCACTACGGCTTTCCTCTGCTTTTTGTCCGGTTGGTTTGCCGTTATCATGCGGTCCGTCTGTATCTGAAAGTCCCACAGGATCTTGGCTTGATCATTCTCTACTGTCTTTGGAGGTGTTTTCCACTTTGACCTTGGGGTTTCCAGCCCATACTCTGCATAGATGTTCCTGTACGCTATTCCAGCCAATTGATTATGGCGCTCCATGTAAGCTTTCTCTGCCACCATCTTATATATATATATATATATATATATATATATATATATATATATACAGTGTTGGGCACGTTACTTTGAAAAAGTAATTAGTTATAGTTACTAGTTACTTCTCCCAAAAAGTAACTGATTTACTCGACAATAAAAGTAACTAGTTACTAGTAAAAGTAACTATTGCATTACTTTTGCGTTTCTCGCCCCCGTAACCCTCATCACCCAGCCCCCACCTTCTCGCCGTGTGTTTCCAAAGCCAGCTGAATAGAGCGGACGACAAAGACAAGAACCTGCAGAGAGTTTAGCATTTATTGCAACTCAACGTAAATGACATCAGGGGGGAACGCCATGTGAAGTTTTATAACAGGGCGTTCAGATCTGGTGAGTGAATGAAATTAATAACTGGGGATGTCTAATTCTGAAATCCTGTGTGTTTGGGTTGTTATACATACTGTAACATCTATCTATCCATCTATCTATCTAGATCTATACTCTGTGTGTGACATAAAATATGGATCTCCATCCCTGCCACAAAGGCCATCAAATAATGTTTAAAATAAAAAATACAGTAGGTTGAAAAGTCAGAGTATCCATCCATCCATCCATCCATCCATCCATCCATCCATCCATCCATCCATCCATCCATCCATCCAGATTTCTCCCTTTCTCCATATAGGCTATCATTTGATCGTTCCCGCTCTCCATAGTTCTCCTGTGGCGCAAGCACAGGGCGACTGTTGCGCGCCTTTAGCTAGCATGCGCGTTTCCTGTCGCTTGCGCGGTGACTCTTGCCGCCTGCGCTGTGCGGAGATGCAGAGGAAACCGTTATGTGGTGGGGAAACGCAGCTCGACGTAACACCAGTATTTCCATGTGGAAAACGCTGTTTTGCTGCTGGAGTCCTCCTCACTCTCCATCTCTCTGTGTGTGCTGTACGTTAACACCCACCAGCAGAAACACCCACCTTCCCAACTGACAGACGGAATCTCACTATACATCAGCCATTCTCATCCTCCCCTCTCTCATGACAAGGCGCGCACCTCTGGATGACCTAAAAAATAATTTTTAATATCTCTTAAACAAAAGAAGCACAAACAATATTTTTTTCTGCACAAATCTTCACTAACGTTGCACTAACCATTCAGTCTATTTGCAGAGTTTTTTGACGTGGGTGGGGTGTCAGCTTCACGCAGCTGCGCACGAGTCCTATCATGAAAAAAGGTTCATTGTGCGACCTGAGTAACGCGCAGTAACGGGGTGTCTGCAATGGTAACTGCATTATAGTTACAGTCAAAGTAATTAGTTAGATTACTCGTTACTAAAACAAGCGCCGTTACTTTCAACGCCGTTAGTCCCATCACTGTATATATATATATATATATATATATATATATATATATATATATATACATATATGTATTTGCAACCTAAGGCACAAAAATCATCGCCCATACACTCTCGTTAGAAGTTGTTCATGTGCAGCAGCTCCTCTGCAAAACAAAGGAATAGGAGAGTTCTTGGTGCACGAGAGCTGCACCCTGAGGTGACAGGAAGTGTATTTGCTCAGCACCTCCCGCCACAGTGCAGACGGTTTGCGGGTGATTTACTGGTCTCTCTCTCTCTCTAATGGTGCAAGAAACGTCCTTCTTCCAGGACCTGGTTTAGCTGCAAGGCTAGGCTAACTGCATGCAGCGAGGCTAAAGCTTTATCCTGCTTTCTCTGCCTCCTTTTTCAAACATCAGGATCTGATCCAGCATGGATAAAGACAGTCTAGGACTGATATAAAGCACTTTTTAGAAAAGGAAAAGAAGAACGAACAATCTGGGATTCACATGAAAGATAATAGAATATAATCTACTTTTTCTAGGTGTTTTTATGAGTTTTTACGGCAGTAGTAGCTCTTTTTATGGAGAGTAGGGGCAGTTTATATATGAAAAAAATCAAAAGCTGACTAATTGCTGACTATTTAACTGGTCCATTATTTTTTTTAGGTTTGTGACACAATATTGGACAACGAAAAACACAGATTTACCTTCACAGCCTCAGAAGGGCAAGATTTATGGACGAACAATAAACCTGGACATGAAATGAAAGTGTTTTTATAATCTTTTTTTTATTTCCGGCATTCATATAAATAAATTAGTATACATTTGTTTGGTTTTTGGTAAACGTCTATTTTGAATTTATAATAAATACATTTATATATAAATTTAAAATTCAAATCTTTTCTTTGATTTCATTTGCAGTGTGCAATTTTAATCTATTTTTTTTTGGTTTTTATTGATTTTGTTGCGGTTTCTTTTATTATAATTTCTAATTTCCAGATTCAAATGTACCTCACTGACGTCGATCCCATTGTTCACAGACCAGGTGGTCTGAAAACACTCCAGCATTCGCTGCTCCAAGGCTTTGGGCAGCCGGTGGACCCTGATGAAGTCCTTCAGGTCCTTGGTGCGGGTGTGGTACAGCGAGCGGCGGGAATACATCCTCTGGATGATGGCGGTCACGTTACCAAACACCACGGCATGCATCAGCGCTGTGGGAAGAGGAAAGCAAGCTCTGAGATAATGAATACATCCTTTGTGTCTAAAGAAATCCAAAATCATTTGAAACTCCATGCAGCCCCATTTCTGCTCTAAATGAACACAAGCGTGAACTTTCACCACGGCTCCTCGGTCCGAGTTTAAGGATGAACTTCTATGCAGCCAATCAACAGCAGGGGGAAAAAGAAGAAGTGTCAGATGGCGGGACAAGTCCAGCTCAGGGACACAGAGACTAATGATTGTCCCCTCAGGCAGAACAACCCGCCGTACATTCAGGCCGACTTTAAAATGTCTCTCAGTTACACCACAGAAAGCCTCCGGCTGCAGCAGCTCCAAACTCCACGTTAGGCTGATTAATGAAGCTGCAGCTTATTTTGACAAGTTTCCGGTTCAAAGCAGGATTTTCCAGCAGAGGAACAAATAAAGAGCTCAGAACGACTCATTATTATACAGTGATAGAAAATCTATGTTTTAAAAAATTAATCTAACGCATCCTGGCTTCAATTTAGCCAATCAGTTTTTTTTTAATCCATAAAATAATCTACATTCCAACTTCTTACACTGGAAAAATTATCTAGAAATAAGTGAAGATTTCTTAAATTAAGTGTATTTACCCTTAATTTGTGCACTGCAAAAAATGGAAGTCTAAGTAAGTCATTTTTTCTCAAAGTAAGTGGATTTTTTCTCCAATTGAGGACGAAAGTGAGACACTTTGCCAATGGAACAAGACAATTTACATTTAAAATAAGAAAAAACAATTGCATTGTCTTATTTCAAGTTCATATTATCTTATTTTAAGAGCAAAGATACTAATTTCATTGGCAAATCATCGTATTTAACTACTCAAATTAAGGGTAGATACACCTGATTTAAGATTATTTTACTTATTTCTAGATCGTTAAATAATCTTAATTATCTTAAAATAAGATAATTAGATAACGTACACTTAAAATAAGACAAACAAATAGTGTTTTCTTATTTTAAGTGTAAATTGTCTTGTATGCAAAATGTTTCTTTTACCTTCTCAATTCAAGAACAAAAGCACAGAAAAATTGAACAAAAATCTAGATTTTGGTTTTTCCAGTGTACTGATTAGAACTTTATTTGCTGAATCTGAATGTAAAATAAAATCTCACTTTGTTTGAATAAATTAACTTTAACACCATGCATGAAATTATATATATTATAAAGTAGGATTTAGTTTTAAAATAGCATCAGTCACAACAAAGGAAATATAATTTTGATGATATGTGTTTCTTTATATCTAAAAATGACTTTAATGAAGTGTGTTTTGGAGGAATGAGTTTTTTTACTCTTAAAGTAAGATAATAAATAATATGAACTTGAAATAAAACAATGCAATTGTTTTTTTCTTATTTTAAATGTAAGAGTTGTGTTTGTCCAATGGCAAAACGTCTCACTTTCCTCCTCAATTCAAGAAAAAATAAAATAATTATTCTAAGAAAAAAAGTCTTATTTAGGTTTACATTTTATTGCAGTGCAGACTGGATTTCAGGAATCGGGTCACCTTACTGTTAAAGACTTGGAGCAGAAACATTACAAACACATAAGATTGGTTCTATTGATTGTTTAGGATGTGAAATTAATGATCATTTATTTAATATACTGTAGGGTTGCCAATATAAATGGCTGTTAAAACAAATGTTGCTTAGAAAAAAAAACTTTTCTGTACATTTACCAAAAATCTCGATATTTTTTAAAAGTCAGAGGAATAAATAAAGAGCTGAGAACGACTCAGGTTCCTCATTATTATGCAGCGCTAGAAAAATCTGTTTAACGCATCCTGGCTTCAATTTAGGCAATCATATTTTTATCCATTATATAATCTACATACCAACTACCTACTAATTGAAACTTTATTAGCTGAATCTGAAAGTAAAATAAAACCCAACCATGTTTCAATAAATGAACTCAAGCAGCATGTAATAAATGGAATATATTAAATAAAATATGATTATCATGTATAGAGAAAAACGCAAAAAAAAAAGAAATCATGCATCAATCAAATCCAACCATAAATTAGATTTAAATAATAACCTTATTAATGGCCGCTCTCACTGAGCCTGGTTCTGCTGGAGGTTTCTTCCTGTTCAAAGGGAGTTTTTCCTCTCCACTGTCGCTACAAGCATGCTTAGTGTGAGGGATTGCTGAAGAGTCAATGAGTCGATGCAATCAGCTGGTTTTCCTTAGATAGAAAACTTTGAATCAATCTGACTGGATGATCTGGTTGAACTGGAAAGTGACCTGAGATGACATGATGTGAATTGGAGCTATAGAAATAAACTGAATAGAATTAAATTGAACAGATAAAAAATGTCTAATTCTGATAGTAACAGCAATAGTTTAATAGAAATCTGTATCATGACTCAATAGGAACACTACGAAATATAAATATGTAGATTTTACCAAAATTGTGTGTATATTCATTAGATTCAAGCTGGTAAGTAAGACAATAGTGTTGTTGGACTAAAATGATTTAGATTTGAAATAAGAATAAAGCTCAATGATCTTATTATAAGAGTATAATAATTCATTATGTTACTTCAAGGGCAGCAATTCTCATTCATCTCCTGATCATATGATTTACCTCCTCAAATGAAGGTTCATATACACGATTTTTTTGATGATTTTACTCATTTTTAAGATCAGCTCATGCAGTGTAGGCCTTACATATATATATATATATATATATATATATATATATATATAGACTCAGTTATTCGCTGTAGCGCAATCCGAATCGGTGGTGCTCTCTGAATAGTGCTGGCAGTTAGGAAGGAGCTAGGACAAGGAAGCAGGATGCTTCCTTTCACAGTGCATTTAACAAAGGGAAACTCCTGACATTCCTATCTGCCTCTAGGAGCCTACATGTGCAGCCATTTGCTGCACATGTTCAGAAAGGTCCAAACAGACAGCAGCAAACCATTTGCATCCATCATCTAATGAACTGGGCTTTTGTGACTGAATGTTTTATTTTTTTATAAATCAAGGTTACCTCCTATAAGCATGGTGCAAATGGAGAAGATCTTCTCTGAATCCGTGTTGGCAGAAACGTTCCCGAAGCCCACGCTGGTCAGGCTGCTCAGAGCAAAGTAGAGGGCGGTCACATAGCTGCTACGGGTCGACGGGCCGCCAAGCACCTTCAGCTCCCCCGTTTCTGAGATGTTCCCGTAATTCTGGCTGGAGTTCAGGGCTCCTCGCCCTGTGACCTCTGACCCTGTCACGTTCCACTGAGAGCTGTTGGCTGGAAGGCTGCTCACTGTGGCCGGGACAGGCGTCGACAGAGAGGACAGGAAGTAAGGGGTGCCCAAGCGCTTCGCCAGCTCATAGAGCCAACCTGAGGGGAGAGAAGGAAAAACAAGCTCTTTAAACTTTCCTCCATTTGACTTAGAATACAGAGTTAAACAAACGTCATCCTGAGGGCAGTGGCGTTATTTGGTCTCACTGGAGACGAGTTTCTCTTTTCATTTTTCTCTAAAATATTTAGTAAAATTAATAAAAAACTATTGTAACAATTAAAGTCTTTTTTTTAAATGACTCAGGGTTTTCTCTTGACTTTCAAGCATCCAGCATCCTGAGGTGAGGGAAGCGTTTTCATGTTAGTTTGATGTTCAGTATCCCTGGCAGCCTGTCAGGAGATCCTTTAAGGCCGGGCATCCACTGTACGATATTTTCAGCCGTTGCACGCAGCCACAGCTGAAACTGTACGATGAAACATCAGGATTTAAAAGTTCTCAGCTAACGATGTTTGTTCTGCCACTCTATGACCCAACGCTCCGATGCGATCTACCTGCTCACACTGCAGGACTCAGCGCCGAGAGATGGAACTGCTCGGACTCCTCAGGGGGACCGACTGAATTTCAAACATAATTGATTTTTTCCCGACCTTGCGATTCCTGACCAGGAGGTGGTCATCAGAGGCTAATCGGCCCTCGTAACCCCCTGTATACTACTAGAGATGTCCCAATCCAGGTTTTTGCACTTCCGATCCGATACCGACATTGTTTTTGGACTTCCGATCCGATACCGATACTGGCCGATACCAGCCTATCCGAGCATGTATTTAAGTTTAAGTTAAAGTATTTAGCCTTAGTTGTAAGACTCATGTTGAAAAGGGTTTTAGTACTCTTGATAACATCTAGCCAGCTAAATTAGGTGAGATTGAATAAAACACAATGCTTGGTAACAACAAACTTACCTGTTTATTAAGAGATAAACACAAACTGGACAAAATTATGAATAGCAATCTAATATTGCACAGTGAACAGTAAAACCGCAAACAGTTAAAGGTGCTATATTACTGTAAGTTTTAATAAAAATGCAAAACAGACAAGAGTGGAAAATAGTCTATTAACTTAGAATCAGGACTCTACTCTTGAAAAAAGACACTGCTTAAAAAAATCAGTGCAAATAAACACAAAAATGCCTTATACTCCCCAATCTTCTCCACACCTGGTCTCCATCTACACATCCTGCAGGATAAAATAATCCCACACGGCTGACATTTTCCCCGCTATCTTCCAATTCACCTGTTTTAATGGTTAGGCCGGGAGACAGACCCAAAAAGACCTGTGGGTGTTTTGAAGGTGCTCTGGAAAATACGGACCGGAACACGGTGCATGATGGGATATATACAGTATATACAGTCAGTCCACATAGGACAGCTTTTGTTCCCCTTTTATAGCAGGATTACAATCAAGGGTTATTGCACAGGGTGTTTTTCTGGGCATTTATATAGATGGATATCTATATATATTAGGGATGCACGATATTGGGATTTTGGCCGATATCCGATATGCCGATATTTTAAAACTCATGTAGCCGATAACCGATATCGATACCGATGTTAAAGCAGGACAAAAATAAGTAGTCATTGAAAATAGCAGTTTTGTTATCCATTTCTGACACTCTGAAAAATAATATACTCAAATATATTTTCATATGCTGATATCAAATTGATTTTTTAAAACGCGGTATCGATCTATTTTACTTTCAAAATCTGGTGAAATTTCATCGTTCTGTTACAAACTCTCGTGATATTTTGCAAATTCTTGTGAGATTTTGTTAGTAAAATAGATCGATACCGCGTCAATATATCAACATATAAAAATATGGCAACATTTGGTGAATTTTCGGGGGATTTCGTAGCATAACGATGACATTTGGCAATATTTCATTAGTAAAAGAGATTGATATGGTGTTTTTAAATGGCAATATATCAGCATATGAAGATATTGGGATATTTTATTGTATCAATATTTTTTCCCTCGTCTTTAGAAGTTTTTAAGTCTGTAAAAAAGAAGTTTTTGAGGAAGAAGAAGAAGTAGTATTTTATTTTATTTTTTTTAGACTTTAGAAACTCAGAAGCTGATCAAATATCGGGTTAAATATCGGTGGGGTGGCCGACGTCCGATATTCAGTTTTAAGGCCGATACCGATAGGGGGCCGATTATATCGTGCATCCCTAATATATATAGATATTGCACTTGACGTCAAGTATAAAAAAACGGTTTATTGCACAAGGTATTAAATAGTAATTGCATAAATATAAATTACGCACTGCACAAGATCCTGATGCTGTATTTAACAGTTTTCTTCCAAGAGTACATTTTAAAAACTTATTCCTTCCCACAACTCCCTTTAACCTTCTTAAGAAAGCTTCCCGCAGCATAATGCTGCCAACTCTACGTTTCCTAGTGAGATGAGTTTTAATTTTTCGTATATGTATAAATAAATCACTATAATAGTCACATTGTGAAGATGTTCAAAGGGGTGTGAATACATTTTGCTCATAGTACCAAACTCAGTTTAACTCTTTCTCTGCTTTCATTTCTGTCTCTGGTGGGTCAGGATGGCACTCAAACTGCTCAGCCTCCATCTAAATCTCCCTCAGTCAAAAGTTTTCACTATCATCACAATAAAAAAATACAAACTACGCTGTTTGAAGGTTTATTTGTAGTCAGATGGAGTAAATAAATCTCACCGTGGAGCGAGGACCAAGGAAAGTATTAGATTGGAAATGTAATGAAGGATTTTGTAAAACCAGACAGCATTCTGAAATGCAATGAGGAGAATATTTATTGATCCTCTTTTCTGAATCTTCAGAGAACAAGCTTTGTTTGCTCTGGCTCTACGGCCGGCCAGAATAAATACGCAGAAGTGATGATCAAGCTGTGAGCCAATCCCAGCAGAGGGTTAACCATCAACATCAGAGGATTTAACACCTCAGTAGTTTCCTAATTATTCTGTCATTAGCACAACTAACTCTCCAATACTCTGAACAAATGGACCACAGTAAAAGTTTGTTTCACATAAATGTGTATTGGTGGATCACAACAGGATGCAGCTCTTTTTTCACTGCACTCCAGCACATCAAAACATAGCCCTCAGCTTTATTTGTAAATATCACATTGTTGATCATCTCCAAAGCTCTTTCACCTTGCATCTAGCAAAATACACAAATGACATCAAACTAAAAGCACCAATGGTGACACAGTGGGCAGCACTACTGCTTTACAGGGAGACGATCCTGGATTTAAACACTTGTCCTGCAGGAGTTTGCAGGTTAACAGGTTTTCTCCAATTCTTCGGCTTCCTTCCAGCCCAAACACGACTGTTAGGTTGCCATAAGGCAACCCTGGGTGTGACTGTGTGCATGGTTATGGTCACAGCAGTTTGTTGCACCTCCTCTGGCATCCCTGACAGCTTTAATGCTTTGTCAAATTAAGAGTTTTGGGCAGCTGACAGATCAGCTTTGCAGTCCAGAAGGATTCAGTCACAGACTTCAAACTGGACTGAGACTGATTATTGAAAGACACTGAGTATAGCAGCTTTTCCTTAAGAGGACGATCTTTTATTTCTTGGTGGATGGGTGGTGATGCGTTTATGTAAGGCCGTCCTACATGCTCGTCCCATTAGCTATCTTTTTCTGCGCCCTTTCAGGCGTATATCTGTGGTGAGCTACGGTTTCAGACAGTCATTGAAGCTCACCTTTCTCACCCCGGTTATTTGAAAAATGGCCGAGGGTCGTAAGAGAAAAAGTGTCTACGAAGTTTATGAGAAGAAAAGAAAGGCCTCAGAAGAGGCAGATATATCTCAGAATACTTTGCGTGGAGAGCTCTCCTCGCAAAGCATTATGGGATTTGCTGTCACAGCGGCCCACTGTCACCGTAGGCTGCCACTACCTGACAGTGGCGACTACTAACAAAGACGGCTCAGGCACCGCACAGTGGACCAACGGTGAAGTGATCATCAGTCTGAATGGTGAGTTAACTAAGTCCACTATATAGTCTCCGCTCTATATAGTGATTGAGGGATGTCCGCCCTAACTAGGGGTTAGGGTGGACATTTGGACACAGTAAGGTTGTATGAGCTATGAAAACAACAACTTTAAACAGAGCGTGCACGAGGAGAAAGGGCCGTGCATGCTCTCGCACATGCATTTTTTTAAGTGTTTATTTTAAGTCTCTCAAATAATTCGAGAAAATCCTCCCCTATACCCTTTGAAAACCTTTAAATTCTCTATTTGCATCTGTATCCTCTTGTGCTATTATCTTTGTAAATAAAGAGCCCAAAATAGTTAGAAAAATGGAGCACAGCTTCCTTCATTCTTTACTGTTGGTTTTATCTGCCTCTGTCCAGGGTGCTGATTTTTCCTGACAGTGCAACTGAGCAGTCAGCCTTCTATATGAGCTGTCCGTGGTGCTGAACTCGGCTCTTCCACTCTGAAGAGCCACTTTTTGCTCACATTTCCAACCTGTTCTGACCTGAAATGAGTCACATTCCTGCCTCGGTTCAGGTCAAGCACATCTCTGCTTAAAAAATGTAAACCTTCTCTCTATTTTACACATCTGCCAGATAAGCTTACCCCCACTGTTTTAACTAAATTTGTGTTCAGTTAATTATCACCTTGTATCTAATTACATACTGCATGTACACCATTGAGCAACTTGTTGCCAGGACTTTTTCTAACTAACTTTCAGGCTTTTTAGTTCAAGTAACTGAAGCATACCTCAGTGTTTCTATCACAGTGAAATTTGCTCTGCTTTATGCTTCAGTTATGACAGTGAATCACAGCTTTGTCTTTAGAATACGAAGGAGTGTTTAATTTTACAAAATACATCTATGTTTAAGATTTTTACTTGAAGACAGAAAAGAAAGTAGGTCCTGGGAAAAGCCGCTGTCACAACTTCAAACAATCTTAAACCTGCAAAGATGAGCTGCTTCAAGCTGTCTACAAATCACAAGTGGAGATGGGAAAATTAAAGCTGAGTAGTTTCTTTTCTTTTTAAAGTAAAAAAGCAGTCAGGAGGCGTCTTCTGGAATTAAGTTGGCTCT